CTCTCTCTCTCTCTCTCTCTAACTCTGTTTATGGTACAGCGAGGATGTGGTAAGCGATAGGAACGAAATCTAAAATAGGAAGGCTTGTATTACAAGATAGGAAAGGGCAATCTAAAATAAGAAAGTTTATATTGCAGGATAGGAAAGAGCAATCTAAAATAGGAAAGTTTATATTACAGGATAGGAAAGAGCAATATCTCTTTCCTACCTTGTAAAACAAACTTTCCTATTTTAGATTTTGTTCCTATCAGGAACAGAACAGGGCTCGCTCCCTCTCTCTCTCTCTCTAAAAACGATTAGTCTCTCGATTTCTCTCTTGGGTGGCGAGCTAGATGCCCAAAATACTCGCTCTCTCTTCATATGACCAAGTCCTCTCTCTCCGATTATGTAGCTCATGCTTATGGGCCGTTTGCTTGTAATGACAAACATACCCAATAGCGTGCGACTCTGAGCCGCCAATTTATGTGAAATGAATAGTAGAGTGATGTTTTTGCAGGGTGATGCTCGTGGGTTGGGGTGGAAACAACGGTTCTACGATCACCGCTGGAGTAATTGCCAACCGAGAGTAGGTTTCTCATTTTTCCTTTTACTTTTATTCACTTTTTTCTTCTTCTTTTACTCTTTTTACTCACTTTTGTTTATTAAATTGTGAAAATACATAACTTTAGCCTGATTTCCATAACTTAAATCAACAGTCGCCTGTTTCAATGAATCTTGGGCTTAAAAGTGGGCCTCTTCCTAAATACTTTTTCTCCTCATCGAAAATGGACCCTAACCTCGATTTGGGTTTTCATTTTCTGGAGTCAAGTGCCTAATTTACACACCAAAAAACGAGATTGGGATTTCATGCCCTATTTTTCGAGTGAAACAGTCAAAATAAAAATGTCTGTTACTATTTCTCGAGTAAAGCAGCCAAGATATTATTTTAATGTTTTTTTGGGGGCCCCCCAATTCCCAGGTGAGATGATGGCACCTGCCAAATTTTATATATCCATATAATTTATAAAAAAATTAAAATAAAATATTCGAAAATGTCGGATCTATATAGTCAATGGCTCACAGAAACATTTGCCTTTGGTTTTGGGTATGCAATTTTGGTATTGGTTAATGGTTTTTGATGTGTTGGAAATGCAGGGGAATATCATGGGCAACCAAAGACAAGGTGCAGCAGGCCAACTATTTTGGGTCGCTCACCCAGGCATCGACCATCAGGGTTGGCTCTTTCAATGGGGAGGAGATGTACGCTCCTTTCAAGAGCCTACTCCCCATGGTGAACATCCAAACCGATCAAAGTTTCCAATTCTAGAGAGAGAGATTTTCAGCTCAGAAAGTGAATTTATATATATATATATATATATATATATATATATATATATA